TGACATTATAAATTTAGAACATAATATATCATTATATAATTGACTATTTTAATTTAAGATCTACTTATGGTACTGTACGTATCTATTCATTTAATGACATGTCATATTCATTGAATGCTATATAATGATTATAGATTTATAATATTGTATGACATTACAAATATAATATTGTAAATTAATTTTAATTAATATTTTATGTATTTTTAAATTAATAAAAGATAAAACTTATAACTACAATACAGTATAACATATTACTAACAAATAATACCTAACGCTTTAAGATGTGATGGAGAAAAAAAAAAAACACTTTAGGACGTGATAATAATTCATGTACCCCTGGTTTTAGTTGATTGATCATGGGGTATATTGTGGGTTGCTTTTTTAATTAATCAAATACATAACCCTTGTAAGATTTTTGTTTTCACAACACAATTAAAAAAAAAAAAAAAAAGACCATCACACTTTAACAGTCCAAGATGTTTCCATGAGATGGAGTTAGAAACGGTGTTAGTGTGGTGTTAGGGGAAGGAGGTAAATGTAATGAAATGTTAAAATAGAAGGAGGACTACAGTATGGTTTGGAAGAGTAGCGGGAGAACTTTGAATGAAATGTAAGTACAGGGAGGAAAATGAACGAAAATTGAAAGTAGAGGGACTATAGTTAGCTTTAACCCTAATATAATTAGCAGTTAGCGGTACTGATCATGAAAGAACTGAAAGACAACTTTATCATTAAAAAATAATATAATTATCACATTTCTTTATAATTTTATAATTATAATTTATTATTATATAATTAATTTTTTTTATTTAAAAACTTACTTATAATATTATACCTATCTACCTTATATTTAATAACGTATTTATATGATGAAATTATAACTACATTATTGTTGTTTGTTTTTATTATTAAGGATGAATGTGAACACTATTATATTAAGGTCCAAGATGGTCTAATTTAGACCCATTAGAAAAGCAAAGCTATCAAAGGGTTTTAAAATTTTAATTATATATATATATATATATTATTAAGGTCCAAGATGGTCTAATTTAGACCCATTAGAAAAGCAAAGCTATCAAAGGGTTTTAAAATTTTAATTATATATATATATATATATTTGTTTAGCAAGTAGGGTGTTTTTGGCCTTCAAAACTAATTTCTTTTCGATCTTATTAAATATAAGTTATTTATACTGAAATTAAAACATTTATAAGAAATTACTTAGTTTGATTAAAAGCAAGTTACTCACGTCGAGATTAAAGAATTTATGAGAAATTATCTTATTGTTTTTCTTCTCAAAAAATTAAATTTTGATCAATAAAATTAAAAATAAACTTCATTACTAATTAAATCATAATTCTTGAGGTATTTTATTTAGATTAGGACTAAACAGCAAGCTTCTATTTGTGGCAATTAGCTGGAATGGGCCTCCCACCACCAATATTGCCTAAAATGGATTCCAGTTTACCGTATCTTCAATGCATGGACACAAGTGTTTGTTGGATTGTTTGTCAGTTTATTTAATTTTATTTTATTTTTTATTTTTTAAACAAGAAAAAATTTTAATGAAAAAAATATTATAATTATTCTAATAAAAACTTGAATTTTAGCATATATCCAGATATTTAACGTAGATTGCTCGCGAGTCTGACGCGGCAAGTGCGTGTGCACAGTGTTCGTAAGAGCTATTTTCAAAAAGAAATGTAGAAATCATGGTTGTATTTATCAATCCCTTAATATATGAACCGGTCTTCTGGTTTAATTGTTCCATCCAAACTTTAAGTGTTTGGGTGAGATGACTATAGTTTTAAACTTTATCATTATCATTAATTTCATCAAAAAGTAACTTAATGATTGCGCGCCTTATTTGAGAAGTGAAATGTTTACCCGATTTGAGAACCAGTTGCTAACAATTAATTCATTAACTTCCTAATCATTACCCTTATAAAAAAAAAAATCCCTTAATATATAGTAGTGATCAAAATGAAATATTTTTTCATAAAAACTTGTAATAAAAAGGAAACAAATATCATTAGCTGTTCGCACTTATAAAAAAATTAAAAATTATTTGGGTGAAAGAGAAAGCAAAATACTTTTAATTGATTAAAGGGTTTTTTTTTTTATTTTGTATTCTTACTATATAGATTAATAATGTAATAAATATAT